TCATAAGTCATTGAGTTGAAACAGAAAGCCAAAACATTCAATAAAGCAGGAAAAAAATTCTCAAAATTCTAAAGACTCTGATGTATTCTTTTAGTATCCAAATGACCTACAATTTATAATTTGTTCATATGATCCTTAAGAAATGAAAAAAAAAATTCAGAGAGTTAAAAAAAAAACCCACAAGTCTTCATTTTCACGATAAAATGTCAGGCTTACTGATGTTTTCATGTATCCCTTTCATGTCTCTTAACTTTTTAATGTAAGTAAGAAATAAAGGTTTGGTGATTAGAGGAAAATTCAACAACAGTTATTGATTCTCTTAACTATTCCTAGTTATTTTTATCTAATAACTACTAATAGAAAATTATCTACTGATGATTCTCTAAAAAATTTAAAAATTTTATCATTACTGAATGTGTATGCTGTAAGAGTGGGTGTGCATATGTCAAGGTATGCTGGTGAAGGTCAGAAGCACCTTTTTGGAGTTGGCTCTTTTCCAACTCCAAATGGATTCTATGAGTTGAATCCACCTTGTCAGTCTTGTTCAGCAAGCACTTTATCTGCTAAGCCACCACACTGGCCTGCTACTGATGATTCTTTGAGTACTTCAAAGCTGGGCGTGGTGGCACATGCCTTTAAGCCCAGTACTAGGGAGGCAGAGGCAGAGGCAGGAGGATCTCTGTGAGTTCAAGGCCAGCCTGGTCTACATAGTGAGTTCCAGGACAGCTGGGGCTACAGGGAGACCCTGTCTCAGAAAGACCAAAAAAAAAAAAAAAAAAAAAGAGTACTTTAACAATATTTCAAAGTATTTTGTGAGATTTTAAAAAAAAATCCTGATACATGGCACAAAAGATTATTTTTGCACATAGTAGAATTTTCAATAGCGTAGCTCTGATATAGGAAATACTGTAATCTATAACATATCAAATAAAATGAGAATATTTTAAATTAATTAATTACATTTTATTATATGAGTGTTTTGCAGAGGACCCAGGTTCAGTTGCCAGCATCCACATGATGGCTGACAACCATTCATAACTCCAGTTCCAGGGGATCCGATACCTTCTTCTGACCTCTGTGGGCACTGCACGACACAGGTACACTTACATACAAGCAGGCAATACACTCATACACATAAAATAGAAACAGTAAATAAAATATTTTTAAAACTCCTGTTTCTCACGAGGTACTTATTTTCTCCCATGTGGATTTATGTGTGTCTTACTCTTTTGTAAGACTACAAGGAACCATAGGAGTATCTCATTACACTTTAGCAACAACCAATACAGTTCCTTGCAGAAAAAGATATTCCATCAAGAAAATCGATTACTGGACTTCTGAAGATAGAAGTGAAAGTCTAGCAAGGATTATATTAGCTGCAACAGTGATTACTTTAAGAATGGAGGTACCAGATATCCGAATAAATATGCCTGTGGCTTTCCCAGTACTTTTAAGACGACATTAATTTTATTCATTGTGCTTAGAATTCTGCCTAGCAAGCCACTCCTAGGCCTTATTTCTGCACTACTATCTTTTTCCTCTATGGACAAGGATTCCAACAATGAGAGGAAAGAAAACTTCCACAACTAGAAACTTTCAGCTGGTAAGGAGATGAAAGATACTTGAAATAGTGGGGCTTGGACAGACAGACAGACAGACAGAGGCACACAAGGGAAACAAAAACTCTGATAAATGGTTCTTGATCATTTAATTAAGGCCTCACCTTCTGAGGCTTATCTTCAGTAAATAGGGCTGTACTGCAGGACAAAAATATCTAATATTCTCTCAGTAAGGAACAAACTAGCAATAAAAACTGTAAAATGAAATCTTTCTGTACCTTAATATCAGATGTATCACGCTGACTGTTTCGCCAAGCTCTGGAAACTGATGAAAAAGTCCTATCTGCATGATCAAATTTCCCTCCTTGCAAATTTAGGAAATAAGTTGTAAAGGGCTCCTAAAAAAGAAAATTTTTTTAAATTTTATTTGTTTTCAATAAAATAAAAGTGTGGTCTTTTATTTCTTAAATATATTATTTATTATTTTTTATTCCGTGTGTAAGTGTATTACTTGCATGTATGCAAGTGCACTTGTGTCATGCAATGCCCACAGAGGTCAGAAGAGGAGGTTGGTTCCCTGGGAACTGGAGTTAAGGACGGTTTTTAGCTGCCATGTGGGTACTAGGAATCGAACCCAGGTCCTCTGCAAGAGCAGCCAGTACTCTTAACTGCTGAGCCATTCTCCAGCCCCCAAAGCATTGTCTTTATAAATCTTTATATCTAAATTTTTAATACTAGTCATTAGTTTGTAGTATTTCCAAAGCATAAAACGAAAGTTATTGCCAAATTATTACATGAGAGCTCATAAATTGTTTTTTTCCTGGAGAAATATTTCTATATATTTCAAAACTTTGGTATTTGTAATATTTGATCATCCAAGAACATCTTATTAATAGCATTCAGGCGTTAGAAGCATATCTTCATAGTACAGTAAAAATGGTCCAATATATAATTTTTCTCTTGTTATGGCTTAATATTTATGATTAAGAAAAGAAAAATGTTTGAAAGATTTAAAAGCTTCCTCAGTTAAAGAACACTTAAACACATATTAGGGGTAATTGCTTGGAATTAGCTAAGCCCTATAAATTACTTCCAGGATTTATGTCTACTCACACTCTTCTAACAAGCGTTAATTAATGATGTGCTGCTAATGCTTCCCGAAGAAATGACTTTTTAGTAGATGAATCACCTTTCAGTTTTATAGAAGCATTTCTTGTTTAACTAATATATCATCAATACACAACAGTATTGGCTACTTAAATACATACCTTACTCCATTTGGGGCAACAGAAGCTACCAAAAAACATGTATGACTGTGTTAATGAAACCTTAGTTACTTCTTATTTTTATATTTGAAAGGAACATAGCTAATCAGGTAAGATAGTCAACATTTGAAGATGCAGATTTAAGAGGAGATCCACATGATTCTCGGGGAAACATTTTTAAGGCAATCCTATACTAATACAGAGTAAAATGCATGCTAAAACATGTAAAGAGATATTTAAAAGCTCAGTCATTCAAAAAGACAGTTAACATTAAAAGTACTAATGACTTCTAATCATTGCACATTCTCGACAACATTGAATTTATTTAGTCATGGTCTATTTTTCAAATTGAACTTACTATTCTTAGAAGCCATGCAAGAACAAAACTTGCAGTTGAGTAATGAGTACCGTAGTGGAACTTTGGAACTTGATCATCTTCCCATGATTCAAAACGTTCTGCAAAGAATGCTGCCCGTTTTGGATTCAAAGCTCCTATTGGCTGATGTTGGAAAGGGGAAAAACAGAAATAAATGTAAATGCAATCATCCTTTATTTCTTCCATTCAAGATTATCCTGTAAGAATGTATGAAAATTCAAAAATATACACCTTTTGTACAGTATTACACTCAAAGAGCAAATATAAAAATTCATTTATTTTTCAAAATGGTCAAATAAATACATAAAAAGTGGATGGGCAAACTTTCATTTCTCCATAAGTCTAGTTTCTGTGACGCAAAGGCTTTTAAATAAGCATCTCATAAAGAAATTACAGGAGGTGAACATAAGATGCACAATCCTTTAGAAAGTATCTATAATTAGAAGCAACAACCAGACATCTCTGTTTGACTTCTATCTCTGAAAAGAGAATAGAGCAAAGTTGGGGCTAAATGGAGAGCGAGGAAGAGATGGTAAGAGAAAGGGAATAGGATGCAACTACCAAGTTCTACTTCTATGGGTGAAATCAAAGGTTAGGGGTAAGGGGTGGTGAGATGGCTCAATTGGTAAAGTCCTTGCCATGCAAGCATAAGGATCTGTGTTCAGGTCCCCAACACCCATGTAAAAAGCTAAACATGGTGGTGTACACCTGAGATTCCACCACCGGGGAGGCAGAGACAGGAGACAGGCAGATCCCTAGGGCTCGGAGACAGATCTTAGCCTAATCAGTGAGCTTCAGATTCAGTGAGAGATCCTGTATCAAAAAATAAGGTAGAGGGGCTGGAAAGATGGCTCAGCGGTTAAGAGCACTGACTGCTCTTACAGAGGACCCAGGTTTGATTCCCAGCAACTATGTGGTGGCTATGAACTGTCCTTAACTCCAGTTCCAGGGAAATGTGAAGCCCTCTTCTGACCTCTTCGGCATTGTGTGACATGGGTAAGATTACATAAATTTTAATTAAAAAAAATAAGGTAGAAAGAGAGGAAGACATCCAACATTGGTCTCTGGCCTCTATGCATACTTACACTTATACATACACACATGACCACATAGATACACATACAATACAAACACAAAAACATACATACACACACACACACACACACAAACACACACGAGAAGAAACGTTAGAGGATGAAAATATGACTATGAATTACAAAAGAAAAAAAAAGATAGATTACAATCCTATACTTGAAAACAAAACATTTCAGCAGAGGCTCCAGAGCAGTAAGCAAGGTAAAAAAACCTGTACTCCCTGGTAAACTCAAGCCTAGACAAAAGGTTGTTTGGGAAAATTAAGTACAGTAACATCCTAAAAGCAGTGTCTGACAACATTCAATGAATGCTATTATTATTATATGATCTTTTTGAGACAGGATCTCCCTGAGGCCACAGCTGGCCTGGAGCTTACTATGTAAATGAGGCTGGCCTTGACCACACAAAGATCTACCAATCTTTGCTTCCAGAGTACTGGGATTAAAGGCCTGTGCCACCACACCCGGTTTTTTAAGTGCTATTATTTTTTAAAAAAACATTTTATTTTTGCCAGGCATAGTGGTGCACGCCTTTAATCCCAGCACTCAGGAGGCAGAGACAGGTGGATCTCTGTGAGGCCAGCCTGGTCTACACAATGAGTTCCAGACAGCTGGGACTACAGGGAGACCCTGTCTCAAAAAGGCCAAAAAAAATTTTTTTATTTTATGTATATGTGTGTATTGCCTGCATGTAGGTAAGTGTACTCATGTTGTGCAATGCCCGCGGAAGACAGAAAAGGTTGTCAGATCCCCTGGAACGGGAGTTACAGACAGTTGTTAGCTGCCATGTGGGTGCTGGGATTTGAACCTGGGTCTTCTGCAAGAACAATCAGTGTTTGTAACCACTGAGCCATCTCTCCAGCCCCAAGTGCTATTATTTTTAAGATGATCTTTTAGAACTGAGGTAAAAGAGTTTGAACAAGACAACTGCTTAGAAAGAAAGCACTTTGCTTGATAGAGGCATGAAATGTCTGCTGCTATTTAGGGAATATGCAAACTCCATAAACAATAGGCAACATTTTGACATTATGCACATTTATATTTACAATTTTTTTAAAGGAAGACAGTATTCTTGAGGCTTTCAGGGTTTTAGGGGACCAAGAACGTTAAAATTGACTGCTTTAAATAGTAAGTCAGTCTATGAACATTCTGTTTGTAGAAAAATCTCTACTTCTTATCCAAAATAGAAATATCAACTAAAAAAAAAACTTCCTTTAATGAGATATAGAATTTCTTCACATCTCTTAGGATGTTTTATAAGTTACTAATATTTATACTCAACGAAGATACCTGATTATTCATGAGGAAATGTTCAACTAAAATAACATTGGTTTAAAATGGATATATTCAGAAACCATCCAATGAAAATGAAGCCATGTTCAGACTAGGTCTTGAACTACTTCCATATTGTATGCTTTTAAGTATCTTTTAAAATTCATCCTTTTGGCTACATTTCTTAAATTGATTAAGCATTTTTTTTTTTACTTCAAAATGATTATTAGTACCGTCTCTTTCAATAGCTTGGCTTTGACCAACATTAGTTTACTTTAAATCATTTTTTTACTTTATAAGTAGTTTTTAAAAACCTTTAGTTAATTACTAATGTAAGTCACTGTCATAGTTACTAATTTTAAAATGCTTTCTTTAAAAACTGTTTCTGTACTAAATGATTATATCTGACAATAAATATATGTTAAAAATGAAACTCATTCCAAGAACTCTTCCTTTGTTACAGAACCAATGTGGAAGGACTTTAAATGCATTTTTGTTGTTATCCCTAAAGACACAGCCATGCAAAATCAAAGAAAGAAATAAAATCACTAGAAGACAAATTACACAAATTAAAAAGTAGAATCAATGCTCCTTTTGTATGGTTCAGCAGCATATTAAGTATTCACTTTATATGTTCCTATTTTATTACTCTCCAAATGAGTATCTCCCTGAATCAATAGTTATAGAATCAAATTTCTTGAATATAATGCTAAAACCAATTAGGATTGATTTCACTAGCATCTGGAAAAAAGTACATAGTACACCGATCCATGTAGGTAGAACCCACAGTATTGATTCTGGCTGTTTTTGTCACAGTTGGTTTCTGAAGCCTGCTACAGGACAGCTATCAAGACATACCACATTTATTTGCAAGCATATAAAAAAAAGAAGTCACCAAATAAAAGAAGGTTTTAAAAAAAAGGACCAGTGGAGCTGTGCAATGACAATGATACACTATCAGCTTACTCAGAGAAGTTACAGTGGGAATACACACATTGAATTATACATTACAGGAAAGCACTGATTTATTGTGGTAATAACATCCACCTCATTAAAAGATTCTGCTTTGCTGCAGTTGGAAGGCTACATATTGTTTACTGCTATAAATTAATGGCAGTGCAAAGAAGACTGTGGAACCATCCTAACAATAGATCTGTAATGACAGTGCTGTATATCACAGCTTCCTCAGCAGCTTCATAATAAAATGGAGACAATGTATTGAGCTAATACATTCTACCATGCTGGCCCATATTTTTCTGACAACTGCTTTAAAAGATGAGTTAAATCCAACTATGTTATAATGCTACAAAACATTTAACTAAGCAAGAGTCAGTCATACACCAAAGTGCATCACAGCAATTTAAAAACATTGTCTAAATCAGCATTTCAAGCTGTTTATTCATCTCTGCAGAAGAACTAAAGTAAATGCTGATGGCTCCTCTTACTTGTCCAATATAGTAAGAGTAACAATTGCCAGGAAGTCCAGAAAGATGTCCAAGACTCTCAACTCATACAGAGCTTTCTGTACAATTTCACAGGCTTGACTTTATTTTTTTTTAAATAAATAATTTGAGAATTTCATATAAGGTGTTTTGATCAAATCCATGCCCACTCCCTCCCCTCCAACTCCTCCCATATCTCCCCATCACTTTTTCTGTTAACTTCATGTACTCTTTCTTCTTTTTTAATTGATTTATTTATTTTTACGGAGCTTTTGGATACTCTAATATTCCCCTTTCTGAAGAGGTAACCCTAAAATCTTTTAAGGATTAGATACAAGCTCCAAAATACTTTCAACATTTTTGGCCTTTGGAAGAGAGTATATTGCTAAGAGGCCCAAGGACATTTTGACTTTTAGGCAAGAAACTGGCTACTTTTCTTTGGGGTCTTTTTACACTTACACTAATTGCCTAGTCAATTTTTACCTCCTGCTCTTATCACACCATCCTCTGAAGAGGTTACCAAAATTGCCAATAGGGAATCAGGATGCAGACTGCTCTGGCTTCTCCCATGCTGAACAGGGACACAGGGTGAGGCAATTGGAGTACCCCTTCAGTGGGTCTATCTAAAAGACTCCCAAATTGTATAATTCTTATCTCTAAGGGGAAAAGAAAAGTCCTTGACTGGTGAATAGGAGATGTGAAGGAGAAGTAAAGGCAAGAGTAATTAGCATTACAAGTTCTAGTCAGGGAAGTAGAAAAAAGTCAGAACAGGGCAGTTTTCAAATGTTCATTCCTCTATTGGGTTCTTCCTCATTTTTCTTTTGTCTTCCAAGGCTGGACTCTAGAGTGATGGATTCAGGATAAATTCAGGTAAATATTTTATTTATTGTTTTTATTTTATGTATATGAATGTGTTGCCTGCATGTAGGTAAGTGCACCCATGTCGTGTAATGCCCTCAGAGGACAGAGGAGGCCATGGGATCCCCTGGAACTGGAGTTACAGACAGTTGTGCTGGGATTCGAACGTGGGTCTTCTGCAAGAATAGCAAGTGTTCATAACTGCTGAGCCATCTCTCTAGCCTGACAGGGTATTTATTTTTAATTACAAAATTTTAAAGGAAGAAACCACAAATACTGGCTTTTTAAAATGGCCATAACTTCTTGAGAACAATAAATAAAAAATAAATATTGACTAAAGAATGCAAAAGTAGTATATAATTCAAATTCATTATCAGGCAAATATAATTATCCATAACAGTATGAGAGAGAAATTCAAATAAAATATTAACAATTTGCAATTTAGAATGTCAGACTA